ACAGGACGTATCTTCTTCCATACTGGTCTCCATCTCGTTGGCTTCTGCTTCACGTGGGGTTCAGCTGCTCCATCAGGAAATGTCCTATCATCAGTAACAGTCACATCAGTAATAATAACTTCATCAAGGGCTTCACTGTTTCCCTCCTCAAAACCGAGTAGAGTTTCTTCTTCGACAGTGGCTTTTTCAGGTGACAATTCTTCAGCAGCGTCATTTGTTTCTTTGTTCACTTCGTCCCAACTGAAATGTCCTGGACCATGATAACGCCAAAGTCTGTTGGCATGCACCACCTTGACTTACCTTGCCAACCACATTTTATTTGGAAAGTCACGTCTGAGAGACAATACACTATGTCATATGGGCTTTCCAATGGAGAAGACAACTTAGGAGACATCCCTTTGGTCTTTCTGGGATTATAGATCCACACCTTGTCTCCTGGTACAAAGCTGACTTCAGCAGATCTCTTATCATACCATAGCTTCATGGAATCAGCAGACGTTTTCAAGTTTGAATGCACTTGATGGTGAATATCATCCATCCTTTCTGATAACACTTTCACAAACTCTGACACATTTTCAGGCAACTCTTCATAAGGTGGGCGTCCTGCCACCGAAGTTCCCAACCAAACATCAACTTTGCTGAAGTGTATCCAGCGGCTACATGCTGTGCTGTTCTATAGGCCATCAACAGTGGAGAGAGTAAGACATCCCAGTTATCTTGGCGGCTATTACAAAACTTTGCCAATTCCTGTCCAAGTGTCCAGTTGTAATTTTCTACCATCCCATCAGACTGTGGGTGGAGTGGCGTTGTCTTGGTATTATGTATGGCAAACAACTTGCAGAATTCATGGAACACAGCTGATTCAAAGTTACGGACTTGATCTGAATGCAGTTCGTATGGCATACCAAATCTGAAGAAGAAGAAATCACTAATAGCCGAAGCTACTGTTGTAGCTTCCTGATTTGGTATTGCATATGCCGCAGGCCACTTGGTGAAATAATCCATCACCATAAAATGTACCTGTTTCCAGCAGGAGTTTGGGGCAAAGGACCAGCAGTATTAATGGCCACTCTTTCCATTGGTGTACCAACTTGATATAACTTCATTGGAGCACATCCCTTATGCTTGGGGCCCCTTTTAGCACAACATGTACTGCATATCCTGCACCATTCTTCCACATCTTGCCTCATACCTATCCAGTAAAATCTCTATCGTGGGTGACTCAATCTCTTCTTAACTCCGAGATGTCCTCCTGTTAAACTATCATGGGATTGATGCATCACAATTTCCCACAACTGTCTCGGTATAACTGTTTGCCAGGTCGTCACTTTCCCATCTGCAGTTTCCCATCTTTGGAGAAAAATA